ATAATCATGCTTGGTGTTATTTCATAAATAGTCTAACAGTCAGTAAAATTACACCAAATATGGAAAACTTGAGTTATACAATTGCATGAAATGTACATTATCTTTTTGCACAGCTTTGGAGAGCATGGAAGGATATTACTACAGAGACAATGTTTCAGTGGAAGAATTTCAAGCCCAGATAAATGCAGCCTCGTTGGAAAAGGTCAGACAGTACAACCAGAAGCTCAGGTATGTGACACCTACTTTTTAAGTTTTTTTAAAATAAGTTTCTGTATTTTGAGCATATGAAAAATATTTATGACTTTTTATTAGATGATTATTAGTAATGGTATTTATTCTGATATAAATTTTTCTTATATAGTGTTCAATGTTCTAGATATCCTAATGGCTACATATGTTCCAAATAAAAATAATTAAGAAAAACTGTTTTTAAGTTTTCATGTTATCTTGTTGCTAAAGTAGATAAAGGCAGGGGATTGAGTACACAATAGAGCATTTCCAGTGGGAAAGCCTTGACATTTTAGGGTCCACCCCGAAGCCTGGTGAGTTAAGGGTCAGTAGATTCCTTCCTGTACCATTTAAAAGCCAGCACGTTCTCCCAAGTGGAAGAGTATGCTTCGCATGAAGAAAGGAACAGACCAGGTGGTCAATACTGGAAAAATACCTTCTTCCAAATAGGTATAGTGATACTTGCACTTAACATGTTTTCCTCTAGAAATAATGGGTGGTAAGTAGCAGAGAAAATTAACCACAAATAGTAAAGGGAAAATTGATTCAGAAGCTTCAAATTTCAACATTTACTAACATATGTATTTTCTTATTTTACAAATGATTTTTTTTTTCTGGTGGAACCAGGGATTGAACTCAGGCCCTTGCGCTTGCCAGGGAAGCGCTTATTCTACTGAGTCATCTCCCCAGCCCCTTTATAAATGATCTTGTGAAGAGATCCATATTTGAAATTATTTGACACATTTGTGTTTATTTATTCATTTTTTTACAGCAGTGGGGATCCCACCCAAGACCTCACACACGCCAGGCAGGCGCTCTGTCATTGCACTATATCCCTAGCTGTAAGACTTTTATTTTTTAAAAATATATATTTTATTTGTCCTTGAGTTCTAATAACTCAAGAACACCTGTGTGGCAATTTTAAATTTTTGTTTATATTATGGCCAAGTTGTGAAGATAAATTAATTTCTCAATGCCCCGCAGAATGTATGTTGCCCCCCACCCATGAGCGGGCTTTCTCCCACTACAATCACTTTTCTTTTTTCGCGTCTCACAAACCTGTCCTGTCTCCCAGGGCCTCTGCTTCCTCCATCATCTTCTCATGCTCTGAAGGTCGGTCTCAGACTCAAATCCTGAAGATCTTTTCTGATTAATTTTCTCTTTCTCTTAATATATAGCTGAGGATCCTGATGATTCTGACTGTCTTATTACCTTCATAGATCAATATTTCTCAAAAGCATGTAATAAACTGATTCATTACACAGGAAAGAAAAAATAATTAACCTTCAATTCTTATTCTTCCTAACAAACAGTAGCTTATGCAGCTTAAATTCACTCTTTGAAAATCCTTCAATTGACAATTTTTGTCATACAAGGTGCCTTTACAACTGATAACGTGTTTTTTTCAGGTATCTTTCAATGGAGAATCCAAAATTACAGCGTATGTGTAGAGTACATGGCCCCAAGCATCTGTCCCTAGACACCAGTTTGAGGAAACAGACACTTGCTGCAGCGCCCTGACTGATCTCCCAGTCTCTGGGAACTGGTGGTGTTAATTTCAGCAGTGTGCTTCCATAGCATGTCCTCTTTCTTCCCTAAGGACTCTGAGGATTTGTCCAGCCCCCCAAAGGAGTCAGAGCTCCTTGGCATGCCAGTGACAACCTTTCATGACTTTACCCTGCACTTCTTTCTCTATGGACCATACTGTCATTTTAAGCTTGTGCCCAATGTTCCTGCCCTTTTCAGTGACTCCTTGCCCTTCCCTGGCATCTGCTTTTTGCTATCTCCAACTGTTCATCAAACTACCCTTAGGATTCAATGTTCTATTTGCTGTATTCATCTGCACAAAATAACTTTTTAAAAAGTTTTGGTGCTGGAGTGAATCTGGGCATGAGAATTTTTTAGAAGCTCCCAAGGAGAATTGAATGTAGAGCCAGAACTGAAGACCAGTTATAGATCTGAAGTTCTCAAGGATAAACTCTAACATCAGTATTACCTGTAAACTTGTAAAAACTCGTGGTAGGCCCAGAAATCTGAGTTGCAATGAGCTTTGCTGGTTATTCTTTCACATAGTAAATTTCAGAACCACTGTCTCACTCATAGGTGAGTAATCAGATTTGTCTTCCAGCTTTTCATTTTATTTCATGATTGTTATCAAATTCAGTTTTTCGTCCTGATAATACAGTTATGTGTAGAACTTTCTCATCTTTTTTATAAGATCTTTGAGATAAGGAATAAATTTATTTCAATGGGTGTGCTCCATTGTGTTTATCAAAGTTCTTTTGCATCAGAATCTCTCCAAAACTGTGCATTGAATGACATTACAGTACTTAGGTTTAACTGACAGAAGAAGTCAGAATTAACATACCATTCTCACCTCAATTGGTCTTTTATATTAGCAGAATGCATATTTATATAAAAAACACCTGATAAGGGGCTTCTTAATGATTTTTATGAATAAAATAACACATGATTAATAACATGCTATTCTTTTCCAATAATAAAACATTTCAATGTCACTTTCCTGAAGAAAGCATTTTTAAACTTACAAACCTTCAGTCCGCATCGAGTGCCCTTACCAGCACTGCTGTGTATCAGCTCTCCTTTGCACAGAATGTGCTTATCTTCCTCCTTATTTTCAATTGTGCATACTCTTCCTGCTTATTTGTTGAATAAGGTATCAATTAGCTCTTAATGTTTTCGCTTCTTGCATGAGCTCAAACACTGCTAAAGTACTCACCACAGTCTGCTCATGTTTGCACAGCCACAAGCCAGCACTGCCATTTCAAAGGGCATGTACTGCTCCTCTTAAAAACCAGCCTTCAGGTACCAGTCTTTCCTCAAAACCCTAGTGACCTTTTTCACACTTTGACTGAAGACCATTTCATCCTAGACATTAGTTTGTTCACTAATTGGAGGCCAGGAAAGGTTCCCTGAACCCTCCCCACCAGACTTACAGCAAAACTTTCTGACTAGAGAGCATTCTTTAGATGACAGGTTTTAGAAACTAAACTCAAACTTGCATAAGCAAAACTAATGCATTGGCACAGTTAGGCTGGGCCGGTATGAGCTTCTTGGCATACTGTGTCCCTTGCTCCTATCCTCTTTGTGCGCTTCATTTTCAGCTACACTGTAGCTTCCTGTTTGTGTAAAGATGGTCGCTATAATCCAGCATAATGTTCTCAAAAGAGAAGGTGCTCCTAGCCCCGGCAGCATCAGTGGCTGACCTCAGGAGGCACTCACTCCACTTGCTGGTTCCTGAGTGGGCGCAGTGCCACTGACCAGTGAAGGGTGCTGGACAAGCCAGAACCAAGTGTCCACATTGATTCAGGACAGCCAAGAATCTCTAGGAGTAGCTTTGTACTCAAAAGGAAATGATAAGCAAAGTTTTATGAATAAATGAGAAGGCGGTCACATCATGGTAGTAGGCAGATTGCATGGAATGCTTAAAAACCAAGTGAGTTCCATGTTAGCATTTCCTTTTTTAAATTTTGTGGTGAAAAACAGGTAAAACAAAATTTCATAGCAAAATAATAGAAAAATAACAATAGTTAATACGCTATATGTTATTATCTTTAAAGTAATCACTTAGAGCTCAAGATACGGACATAAAATTTCTCCAGTCAATATTAGCACAAGCCTTCTTTGAATGAACTAAGAGACACTAATAGTATAACTGACTTGTGTTTTTCCCTTTTCCCAATTCTTACTCCCTTTCACCCATTCTAGTTTCTTTTTTCTTTTGAACAATTTCTTCCTATTTTATAACAACTATTGTACAGTTTAGAATTTATTTATCCTTTCAGTTTCTCATACCAGGGATACAATATGGTATTTGCACACATGAGTCTGATTTATTTCATTTATGAGTATGGTCTCAAGTTGTGTCCATTTACCTGTGAAAGTCTCAAGTTTGTCCTTCTTTATGGCTGAGTAGTACTCTGTTATATAAAAGACTGTACAGTCTTTTTATTACATTCCTCACTTAATGAACATTTGGGTGAAATGATGAATGAACATTTTGAATGATGGGTGAAATGATGAATGAAAATAATGAACATTTTCCAGCATGTTCACTGGAAAATAAATGGTCTGTTTAATAAATGGTGCTGGAATTTATTAACGATGCTGGCTTTGTACATGTCAAAGACTAAAACTGTAGCCCCATCTATCATTATGCATTAAACTAAAGTCAAAATGGATCAAAGATCTAAATATAAAATAGGAACACTAAACCTACTGCAAGAGAAAGTAGGCAGAAATCCTGAAGGCATAGCTATAGGCAGAGAGTTTATGAATAAAACCCAGACTGTATGAAAGACATTCAAACAATCAACAACTGGGATCCTGCCTTATTAAAAAGCTTTTGCATAGCAAAAGAAATTACTAATAAAATGAAAAGACAATCCATAGAGGGGGAAACAATCTTAGCCAATTTTCCCTCAGACAAAATGTTTTTCTATCTAGAACATACAAAAAAATTTAAAATCTCAAATCCCCCAAATTCGAATACCCAATCAAAATATGGGCATCTGAGATGAATATATACTTCTCAGATGAAGAAATACAAATGACAAAGAAATAGATGAAAAACTGTTCAACCTCACTGATCATGTGAAATACAAATTAAAACAACACCGAGCGAAAGTCCATCTCACCCAAGAAAGAATCCTGTCATCAAGAAGTCAACCAATAACAAATGCTGGAGGGGCTGTGGGGAGAAAGGAACCCTTCTCCACTGTTGGTGAGAGTGCAGGCTGGTACAACCATTATGGAAATCAGTATAGATATTTCTCAAAAGCTAGGATTGAAGGTCCCATTTGACCCAAGCATTCCCCTTCTAAGTATCTTACTAGCAGAATTAAAAACATGCCACAGCAATGTATGTGCACTTATGTTTACAGTAGTACAATTTGTAATAACTAAATCTTGGAAGCATTTCCATTTAGGTAGCTTAATGTTACCTAGCTAATAAGTGGTAAAACTGGGATTTAAATCTA